ATACATTAGATATAATTGACCTTTTCCTTAAAGTATTTTATGACAGAAACTAGAAAACAATTTTGCCTTATCTGACAGCATATGCATATTACAAAGAGTTCATATACCAAATATAGTTATCACAAACACATAATTAGTGAGATATTCAAGAGACAACAACAATATATAATTCTTTTTAAACAATTGCTGAACCATGAAGATAAGGACAATGGACATATGAGAGACTGACACTTCGTAACATAAAGTATTGGCATATTAGATATGACACATCTATATCTTCTAGCGTATGCAATCTAAAGCTTTTTACAAATGGTTTAAGCCATCGATCCCATCGTCTTCTGATAAGCATCTATATGACTTCAACTTCATTTTAAACATAGACCTAAGGATCATCCATTAATTCATACCTTTCTATCACTGACTTAAAATCTTACAGACACATGGCTGAATAGAATAAGAGAAAAGTTTCTAAAAAAGGAAAATACTTGTCAGGTTTTTGATAACGAAAAGCATTGCTAATGTTAGTATTCATACTAGCATGAAACATATTTTAAACTAGAATATATCTACTTAATTTAAAATGTATGTCTACAGAAGAAAAAAAACTTAAAACTAAACCCACCAATGTCTATTTAAATTTCGAAAATAAGCAAAATGACAAAACAAGGAAACGTTGGTAATTAAAAGGCAAAAACTCCTATAAGAAGAAGCTTGAACATACCTGTCCTAATGAACGGTTTGTAGATATTTTTATTCTCCAAGTTATGCCTTTTCAGATTTTCTTTATTTAAAACATCTTTTAAAATATAAAACACACCATGAATTTTACCGATATGTTTTATGCTTAGCCTTGGCAGCCATGTTGATTGGCAGACAGGATTATTCAACACATTTGTTTAATAATGCACAATAAGGATGATGATATAGTGAAGTTTGGTTCCAATTGGCCAAGTTTTTTCACAGGAGAAGATTTTTGTAAAAGTTGACAGATAACTGACTACGGAAGGATAACTTTGATGACAGACTGTAGGTGATCAGAAAATGCCTTTGGGCAAGGTGAGTGAAAAAAAGCATTTATAATTTTGAAAACAAAGATAATTTATAAACTCTTTATTACCTGTCATTAAATAATCCTCCATATAATAATATAATTCTCTACTCACCTATAAATATCCACATCATTTAAATCATTTTGCTTTACAGTGTGTACTCATATTTCTCTATACTTGTATAAAATTTTTGAAAGCAACACTAACCCACTTTAAAAATAAAAACAAATGGTAAATACATTAATAATTATAGAACAGAAAGTGTTATCTAACCTATGCTGTGTACCTGCATGTTCATGGGAAATAGCTATTCAGGTATCATTCAAAATGACTTAAAATGACTTTAGCCATATTAAATTGTCTGTGTATATTCTTGAAAAACTTTTTCATTTCATTGTTAAAAAAAACAAGAATGTATGTTTTGTCATGCTATTTGTACCCCAACTAGTTATTCAAAGTATAGGGGGAAAATCATGTAAATGATATCCCAGAAAAGCGCACACATGCTATAACGCATCACTCATACATGTAGTGAGTAGTTTATTAGTATATGAGAAACATATTTTGTTGTACGAATGGATGAACAGACAGACAGACAGACAGACAGGTAGACAGCTTTTAAGACCCCACTTCCAGGGTAAGGGTGTATTATAGAGGAAAAAAATATTTAAATTTGAGCACAAATTTACAAAAACCTATACCAGAATATAAGAGCTAGATACAAAAAAGTATGGCTGTCATTTTGAAATACAAGGTATGTTGAATAAAAAACATTTCTCAGTTTCAAATAAGTAACTTTAAAACTGTAAAGTAGATATTCATTTCTTATTTGACATGCTTGAAGGGCCAATCCATTTAAAAGATTAAATTTTTGCATATTTTTTACTTCTGTTTCTAATCATCCTTAATATCAAATTTATTTGATCAGATATTATAATAATTTTACTTTACTTACACAATTTTGAAAATATTCTTCTTTACAATCTTTAAATTGACAGTTTACATAGACATAATCATAAGCATACTCTATCATACATTTATATATGACAAACAAAAAAAACAAATAATAACAAATTAGTTGTGAAACTAACTTTAGGTAATACATAATAAAGGATGCATCACATTGATAATTTTAACCAGATACGGAACAAAAAAAAATCATAAAAATGAACACACACAAACATAAATGACACATTGGAACTTTATTTTAATCAAACATATCAATAAAAAAGAGAAATCATAACACTAAAAGTAATATATATAACAGAATGTTACCCCCATTTATAAAAAACTGATCAATACCATCATGACCATTTTTATTTATACTTTTAAAAATAAGAGAAAAATGCTAAACAAATAATAAAGCAACTAACATAAAGAACAATAAATTACCAATAAGATTTTTTAATGATAAAAAGTGTCAAGAGGGACAAAAGACTGATTAAAGAAAACAAAATATTATATGATCAACTCAATTTAAAAACTTAAAAAAATTATAATCAAATTATAAAAAAACAAAAAACAAAAAACAAATTCCTTTTGAAATTTACAATTATTGATCTTCAAAAGCTTCATTATTTCCTCCAGCATTTTATAATATTTTTTTCTATAAGTTATTGTATATAATAAGTTACTGTGAACCAACTATAAACTTATTGAGGGATTTGACTTCCCTAGAGTACAAAAATATTTTGAATATAAATCGTTAAAAATTTGTCAAACATGGATTTTCTCTTTTATATAAGAGTTAAATTTTCTGAACATAAATTGTTGTGAAGTCAACTGAAAAGTGCAAAAAACAGCAAAATTTAATAGGTTTACATAGTACAGTTGTATATTGACAAACACCTAGGATGTTTAAAAATCTATAAATATTATTCAATATCTTAGTCCAAGACTGACATGAATTTTGTATCAATCACCAATCTACAGTGGACAGTCTACTTATAATCTAATAATATATGTTAGGGATCATAGATTTATTCTTACGAGGAAGCTCTGAGCATGCTCAGAGGATGCTCGGAGCTTTTTAAGTAGGCTCTTCTCAGCAGTTTATGTGACAATAATTATCATGATCCATTAAGATGTCAATCAAATCTATAGCACTTTTATAATATAAGGAAAGTAAAGCATTATAGAGGAAGCTCCATTAACACCTGTGTAAACATCTGGTCTATTCAAACAAATCTTGCATTAATTTTACAAAACTATAAAATAGATGAGAAATTCTTCAATATTACTATACAATGCTTGGTATCAAGTTTTCACAGATGGTTATTGATTTATAACTATACTACCAAAACATAGTACATTGAGTTTCATGTGAATTCAGGGTTGATCTTTTTTTATATTCCATTTAATTTGACAGTTGTTTGGAATTAACCCTCCATTTCATTGCAGACAAGTTTATTGAGTCGTAAACATGTATCTTGGGTGATTCAAAGCAATAAAAATATACTATATTCTACAGGGAAAAAAGGGGGAGAGAATTTGATTGGTTAACTTCTGGTGATGTTTACTTTCTTATATGCATTAAAAAGTTATGCTATATTTTCACTGTAGTACAGGACAGGATAAAACTTTATTTAAGTCGAGTATTTCTTTATTTAAAACATAGATAAATTCTGCACATTTTTTTTGAAATATAACAATCATGACAATTTAAGACTTATAGGGGAAAATAATTATACTCATGCCAAGTATTTCTTTATTTAAAACAAAGCTAAATCTGCACAATTAAAAAAAAATGCCAAGTAAAGAGAGACGTACTAGAGGGAAAACCATGGTGGTATTACCCCCTCAAACCAGGCTTCCACTAATGAATTACAATTTTTCTTAAAGTAGCCATAATTTTCTATAAAAGAACTTAGTTTGCTATTTAAAAAAAACATATTACCATTGTTTAGTTAGGGGCATTATTTAAACAAGTAATTTTCAAACTTACCTATACAAGTTATGTTGAAAACGAGGCTGTTTCAAATATTACTTCTATATCATGAATAAGTAAATTCTGTTAATATTATTTGTATAGGTGTCCATTCATACAGGTTTTACTAGCTTTAACAAATTTTCACAGACATCTGGTTTTTTCCCCATGAAATATACTGATAAAACTATTTAAATCCTCAACAAGCACTAATTGCTTTTCTGATGCCACACTTCTTGGTCAAAGATTGGCCTCTTGGGGCTATTAAAATATCATTTCCCCTTAAAATCTTAGAGATCGACAGTTATAACTAGATATGGAACCTTTAATTAAGACTTGAAGTTATTTATAATTTGAATCTTAATCAAAAGAAATTACATATATTCCTTACATTATTGTAAGTACTAAGTTTTTTGAAGTTGTATAAAATAATTTATTAAAAACAAAAAATACTTATAAAAGTGACTAAAACAAATAACTTGTTTAGTATCACCACCTGACTGTTGTTTGTGTCTTGATAATTTTTATGTAGCATGTTATATAATATAAACTATCTTTAAATCATATCATCTAATTATAAAATTTGAGAATTTTTTTATTATAAAAAAAGGAATGATTATTAAATATAATAAGAAAATATTTAAATGACTTTTACTTTTTGTGGAGACTTGAGATTTCTTTCCAAGCATTACACAGCACTGTTGAAGTAATTCTAATCTATTTTATAGTTTTATAAAATTTCATGCAAAATGTATTTGAATACACCAGATGTTTACACAGGTGTTAATGGAGCTTCCTCTATAATGCTCTACTTTCCTTATCACAGAAGTGGTGTAGATTTGATTGACATCTTAATGCATCATGATAATTATTGTCACATTAACTGCTGAGAAGAGCCTACTTAAAAAGCTCCGAGCATCCTCCGAGCATGCTCAGAGCTTCCTCATAAGAATAAATCTATGATCCCTTAATGTGTCCTTTAAATTCAAAATAACAGTGATTCAGTCAGGACCTAGATTTAACTTATCAAAATAAAAGTAAATCATGTCTTGTAATATGGCTTCAATACATCAAGAATCTTGCTTTTAAACATACTATTTTTTGCTATTCCTAAGTCTTTCAGTCTTTGACAACTAAGATGTGAATTGAATGGTCTAGAGGCTCCAGGTGAACGCTTTTTGTCTGGTTGAATATGATCTGAAGGAAGACTGAAAACCTCTGCCATTACTAAAGCCATGTCATATTTAGTCATATTTTCATCACCACTCCAATGATATACCCCTTTAATACTTTTATCCTGAAGAAAAAACAAATATGAAAATAAATAAAACAAAATAAATATAAAATCAATTACAGTACCATTTTCAATTGGGTTATCAACATTATTTATAAGTATATCTATTGAAGTAAAAAAAATATGGATAAATGTGTAAACATGGTTAACTTTACCACTGATATGAATATAAGGAGATGTGGTATGATTGCCAACGAGACAACTTTCCACCAGAGACCAAATCAAATGAATGTATGTACTGTAACTAAAAGTCATTGTATTGCCCTCTCTATTAGTAAACCCATACAATAGAGTCGGCTATATATTAGAGGCCTTGACATGAATACATGTGTTCATTTCACATGACAACATGAGTTCATCTCACATGACATAAGTGTCTGGTATGACCTTTATTGGTGATATGCTCCTGATAAATGTTTAGAATGTACCAAAAAAACATTTGAGAGTATCAAAACCATAAAGAACCTGAACAGAAATGCTTAAGAATTGCAAATTTAAAATTGAAAGACAATAACATAACATGTTTGTCCCCCACTCCTGGGGAATTGATTAAAAAAAATCACAAAATTATCATTACGGTAATTAAAGAAAATACTCTTACAACGAACATACCATAATTCCAAGTACAGTGTAATATCTAACATTTAGAAACATTACCATAATTGATGAATATTATGTCTTGCTAAACAATGTTGCCCAATACACAAATTTTTCCCTATTCCATCTGTCTATAGTGGATAGCCAATCAATGTCTTCTCAAATGTATACTTTTTCTCTAAATTTATAGAAATATTAATACAAAAGCTTGTATCAAAATTGTCAATTCGAAAGTATGCAGGAATTGGAAGTTTTGACAACCAGTTTTTGCCGGCTGTTCCCCTGTGTACAGGAATAAAAACCAAAAATCTTTTTTATCTGTAGTGTATATTACTTTGTGAACCAGTCAAAACACCAAGAACAAATCAGTGCAAACATTTACTAAAATATAATAACACTTAATCAAAACTGTGCAAAAAACAATGCCACTGTGAAACGTAATTCACCTCCAGTTGTAAATTTTCCATTGTTGAAGCCATTGCCTTTCCTTGAGAAGAATTTTCAGCAGGTGAATCCATTCCCACTGGTTTATCACTTTTGGTTGTTCCCATTGCCTTCTCAAAGTATTCTTCTAACTGTTTTGCCATTTTATAAATCTCAGTATCTGGTTCACTGTATAGAAAGCAGTTTTGGTAGAGAAGTCGCATGTCACCACTAAATTCGTCTACTGATCTGTAGAGACAACATTCCAAATTATTCTAAAAAAAAAAACATGGTCAAAGAATAAATGATAAAAAAGGATGACGACTTAACATCCAGTGGCAAATTAAATGCATATTTAGGACCAGAACATGATAATATGATATGAATATAAATCCTGCTTTGTACTTGTTTGACAAGATGAATTTTCAACGTGGTTGTTCACAAGGTTACAGTCCACAAGGAGACATTGTTCATTACCGGTTAATAAGTTAAATAAAATTTTAGAGGATTGCAACACAATTTCATATAGCAGTCCTAAGTATGAAATCGTTCAAATTATAATGGCATATTGTTATTCTAAACTGTTTCCCAAAATTGATCGCCCTGAAGATCATAAAAAACAGTTTATTAAAATAAAGTATGTCAATAAAGGTTTTGATTTTGTAAATATTGCCGGTATTTTTAACGACCATTCTGTTGAAGAACAAATTCCGGGATATTTTGATAATACTGAGCTCCCTCTTATTTGTTATATTTACAAGAAATCTACCCGGAAATTTGTGTTTAATTATAGCCAATTGTGTAAAGATGTTAATATCAGTGAAAATACACCTACTTCATGTAATTCACTACAAACCAGTAAAAGTCTGAAATGGCCTATATCTGTACTCGACTGTACTGATTTTTACTCGACCAGTCTGAATTGGTCTGAAATTTACTTGATAATACTCGACTGTAGTCTGAACCATACTTAACAGTCTGAACTTGTACTCGACCAGTACTTAACTATTTTATACGCGTCTGAACCATGCTCTACCTAGTCTGAACCATGCTCGACCTAGTCTGAACCATACTCGACCTAGTCTGAACCATACTCGACCTAGTCTGAACCATACTCGACCAAGTCTTAACCAACCTAGACCTATTTTTTGTATCTATCTATTGTATTTCATCAATTTAGGAACTGTTTTTAACAACAGCTATTTCCCCTGGCTAGAAATTTGAACAACAATTTGAAATTAAAAATGTATTCAATATAGCATTGAAACCCAAAATTCACAATAAACAGAATATAACTTCATCACCATATTCATCAACACTAATCTTATATACATACATATATATCACCTTTAAAATAAAAATAAAACAAGCTGATCAAATAATCTCAAAACTGAATGTGACTAATATTTTTAATGTTATTCAAAATTTTTTGAATGTTTCAGATATATTTTATGGTTACTGGACAATTTTCACCATTAACTTAAGCCTCGTATAGATTTATGGTGTCACTTGAGTTTAGTTAATAATGCAGTGAACATTTTTTTTAATAAAATATATATAGAATAGCATATAAAGCAACTTAATGAATTTAAAAAATGACACCTTTGTTTTGTTAAACCAAGAATTTAATATAATCATGATAATAGAACTTCCATAGTAGTCCTGTGATAAACTTTTAAAAAAGGAAATGTGTTCCAAAGTTACAGTAAAAATTTATTTCAATTAAGTTTAAATAATTTTTGTCAAAATTAAAGACATGGCATACAAGAAGCACTTTAATAAGGTTTAATTACCTCAGTACATGTGTGTTTTACAGGTAAAAAGAAAGCCGTATTTTTCTTAAACTCGTGTACTACTTATCTAGTGAATTCCAAAGGCCTTGCGATTTAAGTTTCACAGGATGTTGCAATTTTGAATGAATGTTATTTACAATTTAATACTCTCTGACCAGGTGTGATCTTTTTCATGAGTTTGCCCCAAGCAGGAGATATTACTTTATACTTCACCACTAATCAGAAGAACAATTTTATTAATTTCTTTAATTTTTATCCCTTTTTGATTTATATTGTATATAATATATCCCAAATTATAATAATAGATATATTTCTAAAATAAGGTTAAACAATTTCAGTGACTTTTTTATACGACTGCAGTCGTATATTGGTATGACGTTGGCGTCGTCGTCGTCGTCCGGCGTCGTCCTGTGTCGTCCGAAGACACATTGGTTTTCGCACTCTAACTTTAGTTTAAGTGAATGGATCTCTATGAAATTTTACCATAAGGTTCAATACCACAAAAGGAAGGTTGGGATAGATTTTGGGGGTTATGGTACCAACAGTTAAGGAATTAGGGGCCAAAAAGGGGCCAAAAATAAGCATTTTGTAACTTCCAGACATAACTTGTGTGTTAGTGTATGGATCTCTCTGACATTGTACCACAAGGTTCCATATCACAAAGGGAATGCTGGGATTGATTTTGGGGGTAATTGCCTCAAAATATTAGGAATTAGGGGCAAAAAAAGGGGCAAAAACAAGCATTTTTCTAGTTTCATGACAATAACTTGTGTGAAAGTGTATGGATCTTTCTGAAAATGTACTACAAGGTTTCATATCACAAAGGGAAAGCTGGAATTGAGTTTGGGGGTAATTGCCTGAAACATTTAGGAATAAGGGGCCAAAAAGGGGCCAAAAATAAGCATTTTTCTAGTTTCCAGACAATAACTTGTGTTCAAGTGTATGGATCTCTCTGAAATTGTACCACAAGGTTCCATATCACACAGGGAATGCTGGGATTGATTTTGGGGGTAATTGCCTCAAAATTTTAGGAATTAAGGGCAAAAAAAGGGGCAAAAAACAAGCATGTTTCTAGTTTCATGACAATAACTTGTGTGTTAGTGTTTAGATATTTCTGAAATTGTACTACAAGGTTCCATATCACAAAGGGAAAGCTGGAATTGAGTTTGGGGGAATTGCCCGAAAAGTTTAGGAATTGGGGGCCAAAAAGGGGCCAAAAAACACATTTTTCTAGTTTCCAGACAATAACTTGTGTTCAAGTGTATGGATCTCTCTGAAATTGTACTGCAAGGTACCATACCACAAAGGGAAGGCTTGGATTGAGTTTGGGGGTGATGAATCATAAGGGGGTTCAAAAAATTTGGGGGAGGATTTTTTTTTTTTTCCTTTTTTTTCTTTTTTTCCTTTTTTTTTTCTTTTGAAATTTTCAATTTTAAGTTGGTTATTTCTGATTTATATTTAAAAGCAAATAATAATGATATGGTAGGAGATACACACCAAACAGGATGTGTAAATTATTATATAATAAGTATTGTGCAATAGCAAGAAATTTTCAATTGCACAGTATTGCACAATAGCAAGAAATCTTCAATTGCACAGTATTGCGCAATAGCAAGAAATCTTCAATTGCACAGTATTGCGCAATAGCAAGAAATATCCAATAGCACAATATTGCGCAATAGCAAGAAATTGTCAATTGTGCAGTATTGCGCAATAGCAAGAAATATTCAATTGCACAGTATTGTGCAAAAGAAGATACTTCGTATAAATTGCTTATTTCTTGACCAATTTCAATGGGGTTTTATTCTTGAATTCTTGGGGTTCTTTAATATGCTGAATCTGAATGCTGAATAAGTTTTTGGATTTTGGGCCCCGTTTTTAAATTGGTCCACATTGAGGTCCAAAGGGTCCAAAATTAAACTTTGTTTGATTTCATCAAAAATTGATTTAATGGGGTTCTTTGATATGCCGAATCTAACCGTGTATTTAGATTCTTAATTTTTGGTTCTGTTTTCAAATTGGTCTACATTAAGGTCCAGAGGGTCCAAAATTAAACTAAGTTTGATTTTAACAAAAATTGAATTCTTAGGGTTCTTTGATATGCTGAATCTAAACATGTATTTAGATTTTTGATTATGGGCCCAGTTTTCAAGTTTTGGTCCAAATCGGGGTCCAAAATTAAACTTTGTT